ATCAAAGAAAGGTTGGACAAATGGGATTGCATGAAGTTGCAGAGCTTCTGCATGGCAAAGGACATAGCTAGCAAGATCAATAGAAAGCCCACGGACTGGGAGAAGATCTTCACTAGCCATATAACAGATAAAGGTCTCATATCTAAAATATACCTGGAACTCAAAAAATTAAATCCCCCAAGAACAAATCTACATATTAAATATTAGTTAAGAGATGTTAAATTATAGATGCCCTAATTTATTATTGTTCTGTTTATAACTACAAACACTACGAAGAACAAATAACCTAAATATCCACCCAGTAAAGGATCCAAGTGTTAAAGCATCAGCCTTGAACCAAAAAAGCTGAGCAAGAGTGTCAGACCTCTTGAATTGAAGCCACAGTACTCACCCAGAATCAAGCAAACAAACAAAGAGGATTTACTACTGCAAATAAGCTCATATGCTCGGGGTGCACACACACACTACTTGAGATAAAAATAAAATACAGCATCCTATCTGCAAGAAGTCTCATTGCCTCCAAATATAACGTGTGAGAATAAAATTAAAGTATAATACTTAAGTATTTCAGGTGGTAAAAAACCCTTGCCAAACTCTCTTAGCCAGATAAATGTCTCAGTAGCACAAATAACCTATCACATTCAGATAGTCCCTCTCCATCAAAAAAGAACAAAATAAAACCAAAACACAAATCTCCTTGTGAAAGTCAAATAACATATACATTGTCCTGACTATAGAAACTGTCCAACACTCTTTTGGAGACAGAGCCTCACAATTAAGAAGTTCATTTATCTTTTTTTTTTTTGGTCCAGAATTTGAACTCAGTACCTGAACAAATGAGCCACACCTCCAACCCAAAGAAGCTCATTTATCTAAATCATACTGGACTAAGTTCTGACAGATTTAGCAGCCTGGCATACTTCTAAATTAAAGACAGAAAATATCTGTTCATTTACTGATACATTTAAATATATATTTAAGGTTTATACAGTAGATTTCTATTATTTTCCATAGACTGGGAATCAGGATTTATGGAGTATTCATACATCATTTACTTTCTCTGTCATATCCCATAATTGTACATATGGTAGCAATGACATATCTGTACTATAAAAAAGAAGAGATAATTAACACAGCATAGAGTTTGGAACCAGAGTACAACAGGAAAATCTCATTGCTCCAGTGAGTCCTCTAGATTCCAGATTTTGGGGGGTATTTTTGTTTGTTCAGTTGGTTGGTTGTTGTTTTTGTTTTTGGGTCAGTTGTGGGTGTTGAACTTAGGGAGTGGGCACTGTCTCTGAGCTCTTCAGCTCAAGGCTAGCGCTCTACCACTTTGAGCCACAGCTCCACTTTCAATTTTCTGGTGGTTAATTGGAGATAAGAGTCTCATAGACTTTCTGGATACTTTTGGATTTCATATGAGCTCTTGTTCACTTCCCTAGGGATTCTTTTTAGGGTTTGGATGAGTATTTTATGGAACTTGAGTTTGCAGGTATATAACTTATCACTACTAATATTTCTTTTTTTTGAATTAGAAGAATCCTCTACACTGGGAGATTAGCATTGTGATGGCCAAGGGTAAAGTGTTCAGTGTGAAGTTAAACTCCCATTGAACAGTGGAAGGAAAGGTGGAGCTCATGAAATGAGGAGCCTCAATGACTCAGAAACTAGAGCTCTCTGCCAGATGCCAGGGTCACATATGTAATCCTAGACGTTCAGGAGGCTGAGATTTGATTATTGCAGTTCAAAGCCAGACCAAGCAGAAAAGTATGTGAGAATCTTACCCCAATTAACCAGCAAAAAAATGAGAAGTGGAGCAGTGGATCAAGCGGAAGAGCACCAACTTTGAATTGACAAAGGTTAACGGTGTGAGGCACTGAGTTTAAATCCTAGTACTGGGCGCTGGGGCGGGCATGGGAGATGGGAAGGGATGGGAAGGGGAAACAAAGGAGGAGGCAACAATGCTTGATAAGAAATGCACTCATGACCTTGCCCATGTAATTGTAACCCCTCTGTCCGGTATTCTTACAATTAAAAAAAATTCTAGTCCTGGGGTTTGAACTCAGGGCCTGGGCACCTTTGCTTAGCTTTTTTCCTCAAGGCTGGTGCTCTACCACTTGAGCCATACCTCCACTCTAGCTTTCTGGTGATTAATTGGAGATACGCATCTCACAGACTTTCCTGCCTGGGCTGGCTTTGAAACTTGACCCTCAGATCTCAGCCTCCTGAGTAGCTAGGATGACAGGCGTGAGGCACCAGCGCCCAGCTCAATCTGTTTTGTGGCTACCATCACATTATAAGGTATCATAAACATGAAAGGAAAACAAGGCAATGTTACCTTGGTGTTCTATAAACATTCTGTCAACAGGTAAAATAAGAATTTCCAACCCACAGGACTTACCAACCTGGGTAATTCAGTGTGGGTGGGACTAGTCAATGTTTAACAAAGGCCAGGAACGTGATTCTAGCCATCCCCAAAGGAGCCTCACCAGGCTGCCCTGCATACATGGATAGTAATATTGCTAAAATCAGAATGGCCTCTAATTAAAATATTGTTTCTTGATCTTCCTTTTAATTTGCTCCCCCCACCCCAAGGCAATAATCATCCAACCTTACAGTGGCCTCCATGACCCTGGGGAATTTTCCATAACCCTCCCTTCCTCTCTCTTCCTTAGGCTAACCTTGTTGAACTTTGTTCTACAAGTTGAGTTTCCAAAGGGTTTCTGTGGTCACACTCAAGCCATCTGCCTTGCAGCCTACTCTCTGCTGACACAAAAAGTCTCTGAATGGAAAATGGAGTTGAAATTACCTGTCTGAATCATCTGAACACACTGTCCTGAAATGTCCTGAGCAGCTACCATTTGCCACAGATACAGTTTTGGTGGAGATAAAGAGTATTCACAATATTTTGAATCATCAGTTCTGTGTACTGTGTATTATTTAAGTAGACAAGGTGTTCTATACATTATCCAAACAATGTATACTACCCATTGGAACGGATGCATTATTTCCCTATAATGTCTATTCCTCCTCCACCCCCACCCATCCACCCATCGTCAAGAGGGGGAACAAAAGACGGAGTGGTGCTGTGGCTCAAGTGGTAGAGCATTAGCCCTGCACACAAAGGAGCTCGGGGACAGCATCCAGGCCTGAGTTCAAGCCCAACAACTGACAGAGAGAGAGAGAGAGAGAGCACTGAGTGGAATGAAATCACAGCGATCAGAACAGTGATGTCATTATGTGTAACTTCTTTCCCCTGAAGATTTCATTCATTCAATAACCAGATAAGCTTCCTTAGTGATGGGCACAGGGGCTTAACTTAGGTACAAAGCTGTTGGTCCTTTCTTCTTACCAGATTGTCTCCCATAACGGAAAAGCAACAGACATATATTAAAATAAATGAATACTCCAGCTGCTGCTGGCTCACATGTGTAATTTTAGCTACTCAGAAGGCTGAGATCTCCCATTGTAACAATGAGATGTACAAGTCGTTATGTCGAAAAACGAACTTCACAACTTTGGTGGGGGGGGGGGAGGATCGGGTTGGGGGAGGTATGGGTGGGAGGGAGTATGGGAAGGGATGAGAATGGGAAACAAAGAGGAGGCAACAATGCTTGATACTCATTATCTTGCCCATGTAATTGTAACTCCTCTGTACAGTATTCTCACAATAAAAAATAAATTAATTTTTAAAAAAAGAATTGGTTAAAAAAAAAAGAAGGCTGAGATCTGAGGATGTCTGTTCAAAACTAGCTGGACAGGAAAGTTTGTGAGATTCTTATCTCCACTCAAACACCAAAAACCCAGAAGTGGAGCTGTAGCTCAAGTAGTAGAGCACCAGCCGGGAATGTAAAAGCTAAGGGACAATGCTCAGGTCCTGAGTTCAAGCCCTAATACTGGCACAAAAACTAATAATACTAAATACTCATTTACACATATCATCAAACCCTTTAGACAAGTCCTATTTCTAAGTTTCTTTAGCATTCTAAGTAGTGTTCTTTAATGCAATTAAACATTGTACCTGTGAGGGTCTTTTGAACTGGGTATGAATTTGTTACATTCTCTCTTGTTGAATACTCCTTCAATCCAGGATTTCTGGAACAGAAGAGAAAATGTCATTATCACATATTCTAATGGAGGGAAAAGCAGGGTGACCACAGCTACTCAGGTAGGCCACAGGCCTTTGTGAGACAGGGATGCTCATTGAGATTCCAAGGCTAGCCCAAAGCAAGCTAAGCAGTTATTGGTTTCCATAGCAGACAATGTGCACACAAGCAAGTCAAAGATTTAGACAAAAAGTACTCATAAAATTTATTGGTCCATAATCTCACTTTGAGCAACAAGAGCCTACTAATGCACAATTGGTGTGTTCACTTAATCCACCAAGAGTCACTCATTATCTTATGATATTATCTCGTGCTATAAGCCTATGTCATGGATAGTAAGCTCTCAGAACTTCAGAATTCTCACCCACAGAATCCCACTTTGGCTAAGATTTCATAAGAAGCTAGGAGCATTAGAGGAAAGATGGCAAGATTCTTTGCCCTGTCTGTGAGCAGCGCTCACTTTTGGTTGTGGTATTTAAGTTTTGCACAGCATTGACTGAGGTGTTACAAAAGAGTCAATATGTCCTCAGAGAATTCTCCCTTCTGCATTTCAAAATACTTAAGTCCATGAATTCATCCAAAAATGTTTGGGATAGGCATCTGTGTTGCATGGGAATTCTGTACCAAACAGGAGAGCCCTTGCTGTCAGCAAATGTAGAATAAAAAGAAAGAAACATACAAAAACTGGTATCATTTCACTTCATGTGCATAATTAGTTATTAAGTAAAGACTCAAACCAAGTATAATAGCACCCACCTGTAGTGTTAGCTAGTTTCAAAGCTGAAGCAGAAAAATAGCTTGAGCCTAGGAGTTTGAAATCAATCTGAGCAATAGAAAAATCCCTAATATAAAAACCCCCATTTCAACATAGATAGGTAGGTAGATAGGTAGGATGGGTGGATAGATAGATAGAAATAGATAGATAGATACATATATACATACATACATACATACATATAGAGATAGATAGATAGATACACTAGGAAAGTTAAGCTCAGTCTTTTTGGGGGGGTTGGGGATGGACTGCTAATACTGGGGCTTGAACTACAAACTTCAAGGTCTTTCCTTTTTCACTCAAAGTACCTCAAGAAATAGCTCCACTTGCTGTTTTTTGTTGACTTATCGGAGATGAGAGTCCTGAATTTGTCTGCTTCACTTGGCTTTGAACCATGATCTGCACACCTCAACCTTCTGAGTAGCTAGAATCACAGGCATGAGCTACCAGTGCCCAGCTAGTCTCTCTTCTTTCCAAAGGTTGGCGAGCAGCTCTGTGTAGGACTTTTGGGGCAATTCACTCAAGCTCTTCATGCCTGTTTCTCTTCTATAAACATGACACAAATAACATCGACTCAGAGCTTGCTCAGTAGTCAAGCGTGTGTTAGCATTCCAAGTCCTAAACTCACTCCTCAGCACTAAAAATAGCAATAGTAAGAATAACATTCCTTCATGGAGCAATTGAAAGGATTATGGAAAGACAAGGCTAAGATTGTCCATCCCTATTGGTTCATGCCTGCAATCCCAGCCACTCAGGCGGCTGATATCTGAGTATCAAGGTTCAAACTCAGCTGGGCAAACGAGCATGTGAGACGTTTACCTCCAATGGATCATCCTAAACCAGATGTGGAGCCATGACTCACGTGGAAGAGTGCCTTCCTTGAACAAAAAGGCAAATGGACAGTGCCCAGGCCTTCGGTTCAAGCCCCAGTACTGGTGCGTGCGCGCGCGCACACACACACACACACACACACATGCACACACAGACTTAGATCTCTTCCAGTTTATTCAGTCTCACTAAAGCTTAGCTCTCACATTTATCCAAAACAAAGGTAAAAAAAATACCTTTGGGTCCATGGATTGGGAACTGAAGTTCGTCCTATTTTTTCCATAGGGAAAAAACATGCCTCTTTCTCTCCAAGTCACCCTCACGCACCTCCCAGAATACAATCTAATCACCTTCCAGGTCCACTTTTTTCTTCCAAAACTCCAATTCATGTAGGCCTCTGCCCCTTTTCTGTTGCCCCAACCCAATGAGGATTGAATGAACAACAACACAAACACATTTAAAATAGAACTTCAAGCACCCTCGTGTAGAGTTTTCCCTCAAAGGTATAAACATGAAGCCGGTGCCACCGCAGATATGAAAACTTGCTTCCCACAACTCTTGCATGGAAGCGATCATCAGCCTGGCCTGGCAAGGGTCTCGACAATTCTCACTTCAGGGCTCCACGTTTCCCTTATACCTCACATGGTATCCTTTGCTGTTCGCTGAACAGAGATCCAACTGTTTACTGGTTGTAGTTCAACAATCCAAATCCATACCTAATGTGTCAGCTTCTGCTATTGGAGCAGTAAACGGTTGCAAATACAGTTAAGAGTGGAAACTTGGCCATTTCTGCTGCCTTTCTGGTGCTGGTTCTTCATAGAGTAGATGCTCATGTGGTAGAGCGCCAGCCTGGGAAAATCCAAGCAAGGCCAAAGGTCCTGAGTTCAAGACCCAAAAACGGGGGGGGGGGGGATTACAGATTACAGATATAGTTTGGTGGTAGAGAATTTTCCTGACATGCACTAGGTCCTGGGTTCTATTCCCAGCACCACAGGTGTGAGAGGTGGGGTAAGAAGAGGGCGTTATTGTATTTGTCTTGAGCCTGCAACCTGCAGGAAACCACCAGAGCTGTTCAAATGAAGAAATAATATTTCCAGACTTCAGAGTAACATTTGATCCTTTTATTTTTGCAGAGCTACATTTGGAGCACGACTTCTTCAAGCTGAGTGCGGGGCAGATGGGCTTCTGGGGGATGCGCCTGCAATCTGTTAGCGGGGGGAGCCATCAGAGGAAAGCGAGCTCACGTACTTGGAAGAGTCAGCCCCGGCCTCATGCAAGGCACTGTCTGAACATCGCAGGGAGGCCTCATCTGACTCGCTGAGACCAGGAGGAAAGGTCTGAGGAAAACATCCAGATCCAAAGCATGCCCAAATGAAAGCCCTGTTACCAACCAAACTCTCGTGGTATATGGACTTATTTCTTATTAAATTATCTCGGGGCAGGGGGGAGGAGGCAGGTTAGCATTTAATATAAACTCAGAAAGAGTTGGCATTTGGGAGAGTAAGGGCGGATGAACAAATACAACAGTGGCGCTCACTAGACACTATGTGGAAAACGAACTGGAAAGCTTGTGGGTGGGGCTGGGAGGGAAAGACTGGGGGAGAGCGACACAAGGGGAGACATGGTTCAAAAAGAATTGTACCCACTACTCATTACCTGATCCTTGTAACTGTAACCCCTCAGCATATCAAGTCTACAACAGATAGATAGATGAGAGATAGATAGATAGACAGATAGATTAGAACAATTAGCCTAAAACTTGTTAACTAAATGTTTAAAGGAAAATATTCACCCAAAAGTAGATAAGAGCTTTGTCTTCTATTTTTGTTCATCTCTGAAGGCAGCTGGATTTTCCTACTTGCTTCTGCACTTAAAGCATTGCAATATGTTTTTGGTTACAGTATATAAAGAAGAGAGGTTCCCATGTAATTGTAACCCCTCTGTACAGTATTTTCACAATAAAAATTAAAATTAAAAAAAGGAAAAGTGGCCTCACACTGATATATAGTCAGAAAAGGAAAAAGTATATTAATATCCTTTTTAGACCATTGTGGTTTATTTTTTGTTGTAAGCTGGAGATGGAACCCAGGGCTTCAGGCATGCTAGGCGAGTATTCTACCACTGAGCCACATCCCAGCCCAAGATAGTTCAGAATTCATCATATAACCTTGAGAAAAGTATATGCATGAAAGTATGAGTTAAAAGGACAAATTATGTCCCCATGCTATTATGAAAATAAATTTGACTTGGGGGTGTCAGGAAGCCGGGTGCTGGGGGCTTGCCCCTGTACACCTAGTTATTCAGAAAGTTAAGATCTGAATATTTCAGTTTGAGCCCAGCCTGGGCAGAAAATTCTGGGAGACTTTTATCTCCAATTCTAGCAAAGAAATGGATGTGAGGCTCAAGTGGTAGAATACCAGCCTTCAGGAAAAATAGATGATCCAGATTTTCACAGAGAGAGAGAGAGAGGGAAAGGAAAGGAAAGGAAAGGGGGAAGGGAAGGGAAGGGAAAAGAGAAGGGGGAAGGGAAGGGAAAAGATAAGGGAAAAAGGAAAGGAAGGGAAGGGGAAAAAAAGGAAAGGAAAAGAAAGGTCTTAGGTCACTCCAGGAGTCCTTAGCCAACTGCTAGCCTATGACCGCACAGGCTCCCCGAGGCCGGATGAGTGAGCAGAATCCACCATTCTCCATACAACCTGACTTCCTGCGTCCAGAGCATACTTACTCTGTGTACTTCAGCTCAACAAGTAGACCGCAGTACTTCAAGACCTCCCTGTTTACCCTCATACTCAACTGAAGGAAGTTCCAGCAGAAAGAAAAAGCACTTTACAGATTAAAATCCTCACATTTTGTACCTGACGGGCAATGTGCAGCACTTCAAGGGTTATTTTGTGTGCATTCCATTTTTAACACTATAGCTGACTTCAGTGCTTTACTGCACCCACTCTCCTAACAATGCCATTAAAAATGACCTTCCAGTGACCTTGCAAGCATTGTGGCATGGTGGACCAAGCTTTAGGAAGTATATGTTCTACCAGTTTATCCACTCCTCCTTGAAGACACTGATACACCTCTAAAACAACAGCATCATTCATTTATCAAAGAATGCTTTGACAACTCATTCTAATAAAAATAAGGTTTGAGATCATCGTAACTCTGCAGTAAAGCGCTTATGTGGTATAAGCATGCTCCTGGATTTAACCAGCTAATTTAAAGTCCCAAGTATTAATGTCATATTGGATGCACTTGTGTTTACAAATCAATATCGATAATGACTCAAGCATAAGACTCTAGAAGAGAAATTCCTTCTGCCTGCACACAGGTGTGAAGCCTTCATGGAAAATACAAAAGCTAGCAAAACCCTGGGAAGACAACAGAGGTTTAGAGACAGGGTGGCAGAATTCCTTGTGGTT